TTTTGATTAACAGTATATAAGTGATTTTACTCTCTTCAAAAAAAAAGGCACACCACCTTGGACATTTTCACACTTCTGCTCACTTCCTTTTGAAATGGACACCCCAACACACTTTACTTTCCTTAGATATACGAGCACGTCAGAGCAGTCTTGCCGCAAGCGTAAGTACGCAAGCTCACCGACGAAGGGTCGTTATTTTTGTACTGTTTGCATTAGCATTTCTAAAATACGTTGATCGCAACTCTGTAAGCACAAAAATAATTACTTTTCACACAGCTTAGTTGAGACACTGATAGAAAATTCGGCAGGGATACTGTGCTTATTACGGAATGAATGCACATATATATTTCAAAATATAATTTATAGACCTAAAATATATTAAAAAAAAAGTCATTATCCTAACAAATAAGTAATATTCCACATGGCTACAAGCCAATACTTATTCTATAATTGAACCTGGGGCGGTATTCACGAAAGGTCTATGATCGTTCTTGCCACATCTCAAAGTTAACTCTGCTAATAAGAACAAACGTATACATTGTTATAGACTCTACGATAATAAATAAATGATTGTAGTAATATGATAAACTACATACTACAATAAGTCTTACTTTTATCATTAACTTCAATTTGGGCAACCATAAGTTTGTTGTCAATGTATCAGTTGTGGAGGCGCGCGGCGCCATTTGTATTTTCGGGAAAAAAATGCTGTAAATCTGTAGAAAACTAATCAATTATCAGCTGACAATAAATCAGAATAGGCCTCCAAAGTCTATTTGTAATTACTGATGTGTGAATATCTTCATGTCTTTGACTTGGCCGAAATTTTAAGACAGGTGTGGAAGTGTTCCACACAGTCTTTAAAATACAATGCAAATTTACATTAATTTCAAGATAATTCTACATCGGATGTGACAGGGAATATTTAGAAGCCCCTACTAATTTACAATCAAATGTTAATTTAGCTGTTTCCAACATGTTTACTAACATTTCCTTTTCACGTCCTCTATATTGTTATATTTTATGAAGATAAATATATGAATAAAATAATACGGCCCGCCTTTACAACAGACGAATTTACAACATAGATATGCTATATTACATTTAGGTATACTAAATGTGTAATATTACCGTTATGATATAAGTAAGATGTAGGTTAGTATTGAAATATTTACCTTATCGTGTTGTTACAGTAGATTATCAATAAAGGGATTATAAATGTTGACTCTATCTAGCCACAGTAACTTTGAGATGTGGCAAAAGCGCAAATCATCACAGGCGAATTGGCAAAGAACAGTCACCTTTCGTGAATGCCGTATGAATATGAGTTAACTTGGGTCACAAATGTTACAGAAACAGGATCTAGCTGCTTAACCTTAACTCTAACAGGCATTTCCCCAGGTTGAACAAATTGTGCTTACCTGTCGATGAACTTTTTCCGAAAGGTAATAAACAATTTGCTCTTTATTCATTAAAAGAAAAAAAATGGATCGGTTTGGTACATTGTGAACAACGGGCAAACACACTTGCAGCCAGTGATTCTATTTCTACTTGGTTGCCACTTCAAGAAAGGCTTCACAAAGCCTCTCTCTATCTTTCTAATTTTCTCCATCTTTCTCCGGCCTACAGAGCTCAGTCAACAGAATCTTGGAAACAACCTAACAAAACCTGCTAACACGAGACCAACACAGGACGACGGAGACTTCATGCAGCCCAACTAATCCTTTTAATTCTGTTACAGCAACGATATCCTTTGGTTTATAGTTTCTTCCTTCTGAAAGAAAATTTGCCATTGATACACTGCTGCTTTTGCAAAAAAAAGATAATACTTGTCTTTAAAGTTGTCTTTAAATAACTATTTAGAACTGGAAACTTGTGCTGTATGCAGAGGTGAACTGCCATTGAGCATAACAGGCAATGCCTGGCCTGGAGGGCTGGGTAATAAAAAAATACAATAAATGAACAGCAATAAATGTCACAAAAAAAATGCAGTCAGTGACTGATCAGTAATAGGCAGACAAATAGGTGATGGATTCCCAGGCCGGTTTTAAGAGATACCTGATGAGGTTCTACATGCGTACCCGTCAAATATTAATCAACGTTTAATTATTCAACGTTGGTTAATGCGTAATCAATATGATTGTTTCATTAATGTTCCATTAAGCTTTGGCAATTTTACTAGCTTAGGTTAATCACTTTCTCACTTGATCCCATTCACAGGTGAAGTTTTACTTTATTGTGTGTGTATGTGTGTGCGCGTGCGTGTTGATGCCCTTCCGCCATTGGCGATTTACGAGCCATATCCAAGTGGCCTCCGAGGGTCAGCGCAGCATGACCAGAAAATCTGCTAAGCGCCCGTTAACGCGCAGTTAACGCGGCGGTAATATATTTCAAGGAGCTGAAAGTACTTCACGACCTATGCAACACGATTCTATTCACGTCTTATATGACAAGCTTGTGCAACACACGCACAATGACCAGCAAGAGGATACATTTGGTA